CACAGAGATTTATTTCTCACATAAAAAAAAGCTATATACACCACGAGTCATTAAATTAGTAAAATTATTGGTAAAACTGTAGTTCACTTCTAACACGACATATTGGCAATACATAAATATACACGTATACACATGCAATGACTGCATATTCTTTGTCATCACTGTGATTTTCTCACTCTTGCTCTCTCTGGCAAGCTTATTTGAATTAGAGTGAGCCTTTGTAGTACAAAAAAATCCCCCTGACTCATAGAAATTTTCAGTTTACATTGATTTGTTGGGATTCACTCACTTCCTTAGCATTCAACATTACCACAGATTCAATAACATCATACATGTACATACAGGTCATATACTCGTGCATACATACATGCTAATGTACATGTACATGCAACTACTATAGATTATGTTATATGTACATGCAGGGATACGTTCTTAGTAAATGTTAGTTGTAAATTATTAGATCTTACCTCCGACAATGAGTTCTGTTCTTGTACTAACCTCAGTTGTACCATCATTGACATGGCAAGCAACTGGATAGACTCTACTTTCATTGCTGTTTGTTAAATTCCATGAGAAAGTACAATGTATCTCGTAGCTGGTAGAATAGTTACACATTATCGTGACATTCGTGCCATGTAATCTCTTATTACATGAATGAATGGTTGGGTTGTCAGTGGTTACATCACAGTCAGCAGGGCTGATAGGCTCATTGCCAAACAGGTCAGGTGCTTCAAAATTAATGCTAGCATGGCTTTGTACTGAAGCAGAACAAGAAAACTCAACTTTATTCATGCCATTCTCAACTAAAACTGGCTTTAAGTTTTTGATAAATTTAGTTTCAGCTATAAAAGAAGAGAATCATGATAATAATAAATTGTTAAGGTAACTAATGAGACTTACTGTGTTCATTATTTGAAGGACTTAATGTGTAGGATGCTACGGTGACAATCGTTAAAGACTCATCCAAATCTGATTCAATTTGACATTCATAGGTGGTGAAAGTTGGATAGTAATCAAAACTTAAACTGAAATTATTGGGGTCTATGTTGAAGTTATTATTACAAGAGCTGTTAGATCTAATACATTTTTGATGGCCATTTAGCAACCATGCAACTTTATAGCCACTGTGATAGTTTCCAGGTACATAGCCAGTACAGTCAAGAACCTGATGTTGTCCCCAAACAAAGGTTTTAGGTTCTAAAGTTTTATTTTGTACAAATTGACCTAAAATGATAATGAAATTTTAAAACTGTATAAAACTGTTTGTGACTTACGGAGGACTGTTATGTTGCCAAAATCACCATTAGCACCATCAAAGCCACAGTTATATACACCTTCAGTAATATTGGTGATTATCAGGTTATACCTGTATTGAGCCAATTGTATGCCATTATGATATATATAGATGGAGCAACCAGTGAGGGTAACACTATTACCAATTCTGCTAACACTGAATTGACTGAAAGCTTCAGCTAAAATAGGGACAAGCACCATTAGCAGGAGCCGTGACACTAGCAGTGACCACATCTTCATAGACACTAAACACTGAGTGAAGAAGTATTCCTGAGACTTATAACTAAGAGAACACAAAGTTTTATTAGAAGAGAAACAGAGAAAGGGACAGTGAACGAAGAGAAGCCAGTTTTGGCAACATGCTAAAGAAGAATACAACTTGAGCTGACCACAGACATAGTAGAGTAAGCCACTGATTGTTGCGCATCATCTAGATTCAAACATTATTTTAACTGTTCATGATGCATAGAAATGACAAGTAAAGGAGGCAATGCAGCCTCTATCTCAACTATGGTTGGTAGAGGACAATCCTGAGCAACTGATAGTGACAGAACACATAAAACAAAGACTAGCACTGCTTCTCTCATCATTGCTATCAAACTAATTTCCTAATGACTAAAAGAATTTATGACATCATCAACTGCTAAGTAATCATCAGAACTAATGATAGTATATTCTGTTTTTTTTTTTTATGTACACCTACTGGCAAACGAATTACAACAATTGTAATCAATAAATTCAAGTGCAAAGTGCAATTATTGAGTTAAAGAATTTTCACATTAAGGATAATAGATTTGAATGATAATAATAATAATAATAATAATAATAATAATAATAATAATAATGATAATGATAATAATGATAATAATAAATAAGAAAGAAGGAAGTAAGGAGTTTCAAAGCGTGTCAAGAGAAAGAAAAATTTATTAAACATTGTTATTGCAATTAAAAAACAGCAACTCACGTCACATGACCACAGGAGTAAGTCACGTGACTGTCACATGATACAAGAGAGCCAATGAGAAACAATGTAAGACAGCAACAAAACAGCAAAACAAGAGCAACAATAATAATCATAATTAACAAGAACAAGTGACTGAACAATGATAATAATTATAATTATAAATTATAGTACAAATAGACAATGGACAAAGATGAGAAAAGTCAATCATTTTTGATTGCTCACGCTTCTGTGAATTGACAATTTCGTTAAATTGGGAGATGCTCATCCTTTTGGGTTTGTTGGGTAAGCGGTGCTGGCTAGATTCTTTGGTGAATGAGTGGAAGGGGAGAGGCAAAGAGGGAGGACAAGGGCTCATGAATTATCTTGTCCCTCCAGACAAACACACCATGTTTATCCTTATACTTGAAATATGTCACACCTTTAACGCTGCATGCCATTGTTTTTTACCTATTGGGGGAAATCAATGATGAAATTATAGTTTTGTAAATCTCTCTTACCTTGTGGGTGGTCTAAAGCCACACTCATCCACTCGCCGGGAACAAACTTAGTGTCACCAATAAACTTGATGATTCCCATTTTGATAATTTTTTCTGATAGATTTACATGTTCTTATGTTGTACATTAAGTTTGAGCTGATTCCGATCAAGATTAGATTTTTTATGAATTGTCAAAGCTACTCCAAAACCTGGTTAAAATTCCTCTACCTTTTTCAAAAAAGATTGAGTAGGATTCATTTTGTGCTAATTTGTCAAAAGTAATGGAAATTGACAAGTAGGACACAGAACCACCAGCAAAAATACAAAATAAAAATCCTACTCTTGTGACACAAATTCTACTCTACATTGTACTTTCAATGTATGAAACAAAATCACAAATTGCCTTGCAAACGGTACAGTAGAATTTATATCACGAGAGTAGGATTTTTATTTTGTATTTTTGTTAGTGGTTCTGAATCCTACTTGTCAACTTGTTTCCATTACCTTAAGCATACTATTATTTGCGTCTACTAATTTTAGCGAAATCAGCAAAAGTCATGTTTAGTGTTACTAATTTTAGCGTTTTTAACCAAATTAACTATAAATAATAACCATTATAATGAATAATAATTATTTTGGCATCTATTTAAATTAGCGATTTAAAGCTCTCTCGCTAATATCGCTAAATTTAGTAGACGCTAAAAATAGTAGGCTTAAGGTACTTTTTTGACAAATTAGCACAAAGTGAATCCCACTCAATCTTTCCTTTGAAAATTTTTAATAGTGTCTTTGGCCAAATTTCACCAAAAATGACTATGAGAGAATTTTCTGTTTTTATAATTTTTCTCATACATATATGTGCTCGTATGTTGTGTAGCAAGTTTGAGCAAAATTAGATTTTAATGAACTTTTAAGTTGCTCAAATCAGGCCAAAGTCCCTGTACTGTTACATATTTTTGTTTGACTATGTAGGGGTGAAGTTTTGAGCAAAACCAATGAGACTGAATCCATAGTCTATGCTGATATTGATAAGTAGAAAAACTACCTTAGGGTGGGTGACTGGGTATGTATTAATT